GCCCAACCCCCCCACCCAGCCCCAGCCCCGACTCCACCTCACGCAGACATGCCGAAGCCGGCCCCGAGCGCTCGCGCGGCTCAGCTGGAGCTCGCCGCGTAGCTCCTGCCGTGCTTTACTCCTGCGGGCTTCCTGCCTGCGGCGAGCCGCTTGGGCATCGCGGGTGCGCTGCCAGCACCGGGCGAGCAAGCTGGCTCGCACCAGCTTGGGTATGTTTGCAGGAGCTGCAGTCCCGACGGAAGCTGTGATGTAGCTGTGCCCTGCAATACTGGTTACAGTAAGAAATGTATAGGCCACCTTTTTCTTTTCTTCCCACACAGTAGTTTTATTCTTGCCTTTTCTCTGTAGACAGTATTTGCCATTTTCACTAAACCAATGGTTTCATCTGGGATCCATGGACTACTTCTAAAGGATCTGCAAAAGGTAAGTAAGAAAAGCAAATCAATCATCAGAAGCTTAAATTTGTTACGTGAGGGTCAACTTTAAAATGTTTAGAGGTTGGCGCATTACAAAACGTTGAAGATCACAGGCCTAAACAGGATTTTCAGGCCTACTCACAATTGAACGATCATATTACATATCAAGTTCCTACCCATATATTTGAAAATATTTCAGAGCCAAATTGAAATAGTCTGACCGTACGCCAAATCCTTCTCTCTGCATATGCAAATTTTGGGAAACTCCACTGGTTTCAGGAGCGTTAGTCTGGATCCACATCACAGTACCAGTCAGAAAAAAACGTGCATTGTGTACATCTCTGGCTACCGTAGCGTCCCAGTACTGTATTTGTATTTTGGGTTCCTTTGAGTGTATAGATTGCTTGTCCAAAGCCAAACTTTGCTCAAGTTTCAGTAAAAAAAAGAAGTTAAGTAAAAAACAAAACGAGAAAATCCGTCTGGCTGGTGGTGTTTTGTTATTGTGGCTATTTTGGTCAGAACACTTGTGTTCTCTAGTTGTTTAGAAAGGCGCAGAGGTAGGCAGCTGAGGGGGTACGAGTCAGTTATGCTATCCACACATCTTGCAGAAAAAAACGGTGCTTTGGGGCACTCTGTGGGAAAGCGGAGAAGGCGGGATATACCGCAACACCGTGGGGAAAAGCAGGGGAAATACAAGCTGCTGGCTTTTTTTTTCCCCTTTCACTCGTTTTTTTTTTTTCCTTTTTTGCTGTGCAACATCTCTCTGCGTTACACAGTCTGAGGCACAAGCAGCAACAGCCAAGAAATGGAAGCACCAGGAGAGTAAACAAAGGCCTGAAGCTTTCTCAGGATTTTTTCAACCTCTGCGAGATCACAGGCCGCGTGAACTCTGAAAGTTCTGTAGTTTCCAGAAGATCTTAAATTTAGTGTAGCGGTAATCCCCTGTTCCTCCACCCGAGTGGACCATACTGGACTCCAGGCTGGACGATTAGATTAAACGTTAAGTTTCTGATTTGGAATAGACTGCCAGACACCAGTGGCATTAGTCTGAGAGGGAGAAAAAGGCAGATGGGAGGGCAGAGCCCCGCAGAGGCGGGGTGGGCGGTCACGTACTGTAAACTGTTCTGTCCCACCTCACCTGGGACAGGTGGCTTCAGTCTCTGCTTGAGGGAAGCTCTCACTGGAGCTAACCCTCACCACAGGATAAAACTCGGTACATGCTATTTGCCATTTACGATGTATGGGGTTGCCGGAGGATAATCACTACCACGTTGCAACTTGACTTCTTTCACGTTGCTCGTCTTAATAGCTTGTGCTCAAGAACTCAATTTTTTAAAGCACCATTATGTTTTTAACACGTATCCCATACCTTCAGTGTCATGGTGCAGACATTTGTATTTCTGCTCTCTCCTTTGAAAGCTTCTCTGGTAAATACCATGGCCACAGGGAAGAAATTATATTCCTTTCTGCATGGCTAGCACAGAAGTAGTAAATAATCACACAATGTTAATTTATGTAACGGCAGGTATTCATCTTTTGAAAGGCAGGTTTGAGAGAAAACCACTTGAGTATTTCATGGAAGGAATAAAACCCTCAATTATCTAGTTGGATTGGTTAAAAGGCCCACATATGGAGATACTTTTGTAGTTGTTTATTGTGCAAAAAGCAGCGTAGCAGTTAGTTACTGTCATACTTACGATCATTAGAGAGGTACCACAAAGCCAAATAATAAAAAAGTAGCTAACAGCAGTGGGTACCCAGTCGTATGTCCCTGCAAGTGAGATCAAGGACCTGAATTTCCAAAAAGTGACTGGTAGTTTGGGTCGAATCTATTTTTGCCTGGGTTGAGACAGCATTTTGGAAGCACATTTTGAAAATCAGGCTCAGTAATAGTACTGGGGGCTGAGAACCCAAAAGACGATCTTACTCTGAAAGGTGAGTTTCTGTCTGTCTGCGTTTATACCTTGGAGAACAGAAAAGAATAAACTTCCATTATTTTTTCCTTGCACTGTAAAAACACAATATTAAAGTATGGCAGATTACAGGTGTGTATGTAAATACTGTTGCTTCTTAACGTAATGCTCTTCTTTTGTAGCTCAAGTTGCCATTCACGGGGATTCAGGTTGACTTTCGAGGCTGAGGTCCCGAAGCAGCTTAGTGTGTGTAACGCTTTGTATAAAATGTCTGTTGCACGTGATGGAGGAGTGAGTTGCCTTCACGCAGGCGGTTACCCCAGACTGAAGAATACAGGTGCAGTGACAGGGTTAGTGTGGATGTTCAGTTCAAATCCTACTTCAGTGAGCAGTTTCACGGGAGTGGGCAAGCTGTTTCAACTGGCCAAGGCTGCTGGTTGTGCAAGCAGACATAATCCCACTGAAGGGGGAATTTGGGTGCGTGTGAGCTACAGGCTTCTCTGGAAAACGGTGTGCAATCGTGTAGTCGGACCTGGTGCTGAAAACTTTTTACTGAGGGGAACAGTTATGAATCCCAAGCAGACATGCTGTTGCGGCTCCCTCGCTCACGAACGTGCTTGGCACAGTCCAGTCTCTTTCCCGTAGCGGTGTGTTCTGTGCATCAGTGAAAATTTAACAGCTGCTGAAGACGACTACTGAAGTATGTGTACATCATCTGGAGGAATGGTTATTAATCACCTCCGACCTGCAGGCTTGAGCATAAACAGTGCATTTGATATTAATACAGAGTGAGATCATGATATGGAGTGCCTAATGTTCATTGGAAATGGAAGCACAGGAGAATTGTTTGCCTAAATTTGTCAGAGCTCTTGGTGTGCACATAAATCCTCCTGAGCTCAACGGTCCTTTTCCCTGTGTTATGGGCGTTTTGACGATATAATGTCCCTGCCCGTTCCGCCGTCAAGAACATGCTTTATCTCACTGGAACTTAGTTTAAGTTTCCTAGAATATTATATGGCCAAAGAAAACTTCACTCTTCGTTTGTATTAACCTCCGCTCATTTAAACCACATCAGAAGTGGCTCCCCGGGTGCAAGGTCACAAACATTACAAATGTTCCCTTCATGTTTCAAACGGGCCATGGGTCTTTCATGGCTGTGATTTCTAGTGTTTCTGAAGGGCATTTACATTTGGTGGCTCGCTTTTATTAAAGCCCTGCAACTTATCCTGCTTCTGCGTTTTGCCGGGGTGCATGTAGAAATGGACGTGTTGGGCAGAAATGCCCAAACTGTGTTAACAAAATGCAGCTTCCATCATGGGGGATGTGTATATTCATACTGGATGTTTACAGCTACGTTGTTCTTTGATCAGGGCAGCATAAAATACTTTTGCGTGTGCTGTGGGGAAGGAGCAATCCTGGCCCTCCGTCTGGCACGTATCTCCTCTTGCTAAAACGAGCCAGCTCTGAAAGTGGCCTTGCAGCTCTGGTTCTGCGCTGCTCTCCGGTGTATTTTTCATAGGTCATGCAGAGGGGGAGATTTTGGATCAAGGTGACAGTAATCTCTTACAAATAGCTTCAGCTGAGTAATATCTCAGCTATTTTAAGGAGATTTTTACAGTAAACAGGTTGATTTGTCTCACTGGATTATGAAATTTAGTGGGAATAGCTTGAAAGATTTTAACATTATTTATTATTATT